AGTATATGTGCAGGTTCTAAAATGCGTAACCGTAATCAACTCTTAAATTACGACAGTAAATAAAGTGTATAGAAATTATTAGAAATATAAATGAGTTGAGGAATCGTCTCATATACCAGTGACAATGTGTTTAATTGTTGTGAGAGTGGTGGAAGCTTCGACACTAGGATCATCAAATATGGTGTTTTCTATTTTTGGGGAATTTTCGTGTATATAGAAACGTACCGTTTGGAATGCAAGTTTAGTATGAACATTGTTAACAGCAGCATCATTAATCAAACAATTAAACAGTACCAAATGTGTTTCTTGACAATTTGTGCGTCATGACTCACCTGATACAAACCAAGCGACGGTTTTCCACGGGAGAAAATCACCGAATCCCCACCTGGACGGCGGGTGGGGTATGTGGGAGTTGAACCTCACTAAAAACTCATGTCGCTCACAGCCAGTACCCTAGTCGGTCCGGGGGGACCGGGCAGGAGCCCAGTCGGGGCTATTGAGACGGCGGGATAGGCTTTATGCAGAGCATATTACATCCATCCCGTAGACCCCACGTGGAGTTGGTCAATCGATCGAATCGATCTTTTTTTTTTTTATTGCTTAGATGGGTGGACGAGCTCACAGCCCACCTGGTGTTAAGTGGTTACTGAAGCCCATAGACATCTACAACGTAAATGCGCCACCCACCTTGAGATATAAGTTCTAAGATCTCAGTATAGTTACAACGGCTGCCCTACCCTTCAGACCAAAACGCATTACTGCTTCACGGCAGAAATAGGCAGGGCAGTAGTACCAACCCGCGCAGACTCACAAGAGTTCCTACCACCAGAAAAGATTTACCAAGCTTATTTAAAAATAATGCCTAATGTTTATTTACGTACTGTTAAAAATAAACAGTAAATAGCATAAGCTAGTTATACTTTTTGTTGCATTACACGTTAAACTTATCATCGTTAATCGCTAAAGCTTAAAATAAGTATTTGAAATTAATTAAGATTAAGCTAGATTGTTTTTAGGACCACAATGCTGCTTAACGGCTTAACGGCCGTCTGGTGTAGTGGTAAGTGACATGGTCACTACACAAGGGGGTCGCGGGTTCGAATCCCGCCAAGGGAAGATATTTGTATGATAAATGTCTTTTCCAGGGTTATGGATGTTTATTAAATATATGTATGTTTATAATAAAAATCTTACATTTATTTCCGTTATCTGGTACCTGTAATACAAGTTCTTTACGAACTTAGTACGGGACCAGTTAATGTGGCGTGATTGTTTAAAAAAAAAAAAAAAAACTGGTATATTTATTTATTACCATAACACTATAATAATTGAGAGTTTTATTTTGTCTATCAATTATTTGCGTATGCGATATGATTTAGAACTAAACTTTTTTAGTTACTGTTTTATTAAACCTACCTTTTTTTATACACAAACATTTTTGAAATGATTTCGGGACAATGATGTTAAATACAACAGTTGAGCTTGAGTTAGAAAAAAAATCTGCGTAAAATTTTTGAGGAGAGTATTCCGGAGTGATTTGAGGATTTTTAGGAATTTTGCTATTATCAACGAATCTCTTAACTGCCATATAAAAATATCTGTTTAAATTTCCAAATACGTTACTCTAAATTATTGAATGCCGAATTTTATTTTTCGTTAATGTAAATATGTTCAACAGTAATTAAAGTAGCTTGTTTTAAGGAAATTTGCATTATAATCATTTATGACCTATCATTGTAAGTTAAACGTATGTTGTCTTCACAGTAATAGAGAGAACAAACAAAATACTATCATTACGAATAAGTAAAAACAATTATAAATAAATAATAATATCAAATATTGTGATCTCACTATGTATCTCGCCCGCATTTCTCGATACTTGTAAATCATTTTAAAGTTTTAAGACTTTTTACTACGGGTATTTCAACCAGCTTTGGATAGATTTGCTTAGCTTTGGATGGATTACTAGAATGCCGTTGAGACATCATTTATACTATAAAATCTAGACTCATCATCATTATCATCAGCCTGCGACAGTCCACTGCTGGACATAGGCCTCCCCCAAAGCTCGTCACTGAACCCGATCTTCGATTCTACGCATCCAGTTACTGCCAGCTCCCTTGCGCAGGTCGTCGCTCCATCTAGCAGGAGGGCGTCCTACACTACGTTTGCCGGTTCGCGGTCTCCACTCCAGAATACGTCTACCCCAACGGTTATCGGTTCTGCGACATATGTGACCAGCGCACTGCCACTTCAGCTTACTAACTCTACGAGTTATATCGATCACTTTGGTTTTTGCCCGAATGACCTCATTGCATATTCGGTCTCGCAATGACAAACCAAGCATAGCTCGCTCCATAGTTCGCTAAGTAACTTTTAGTTGGTGGACTAGTCGCACAGTCAGTGGCCACGTTTCGGCTCCGTAGGTAAGCACGGGTAAGCAAGCAAATTGAGACTCAGATTCATGTAATAAGGTCACTGGGGTCAATAGCATTGCGTTGCGTCTTTGGTAACGACTTAACACCAGGCGGGGTGTAAGCTGGTTTACTCCTTTATGCAAAAAGTAAATAAATCGTATCTTTGTAAAACGTCATTCCTCTTTTCGTTTCATATCCTCTCTGCGGGTCAAAGCTATGACTCACGGATTTTCCATAATGATTTGTAACGACTTATGTATGGAGGTATTGTATTTTCTTAGTATTAGGGTCCACCGAACTCATGTATAAACTACAGATTTCATTCCAACCAAAGTTATATGTATTCGTTGTTCAAACATTTTTCTACTACACTACTCATCTACTATTCGTACATATTTTTAATGATACTTTCCTTACTTTCTATAAGTTTAAATACTAAACTAAAATTAAACTTATACTTTCTATAAGTTTCATTTACTTTGGCATAACAATTTCTTAAGCTTATAAATATTTAATTAAAACTTTCTATCTCGAATCATTGATTATAATCCATAATAGTATTGTTATTCAATGTTATTCGATTTGACATTTATAATAAATTATTAGTTGTAAACTATCCATGAACGAAATATTTGTAGCTCTAATGATAAGAGAAAAAAATATTAGAACGAGATTATATTAATATTGTGTTACTGATGAATCACAACAGCTGATTACTTCTAGCCGGTCAAACAAAGTCAGGCGTTTTAAACTACCTTTAACTTTAGTTAACGGATGTAACTGTTAACCACAATGCAGAGAGTAGGTAGGTTGACAGTTCAAAATTTAAACAAAGCAGTACCTACCTACTTTAGACGTTTGAATTCGAACGGTAGTACGAAAATTAAACAGTCAGACAAAATTAGGCCGATAGCCTAGCGATGCTCAGTAACCCGTGCAGCCGCAGCTCACGTCCTTGCGTTCACCACGAGGTGTTTCGCCCATCTTATCACAGAATGTCATCATCTAACATTAAGCTGCGGCCGGTAGAAAGGTGATCCGACTCACCTTAATTGCGATAAGACATCACTCTGGCGTCCCAAAAACGCCACTCTCCCGTCTCAAGCTCGACAGCCATCCACTGAGTTCGATTGATCTGATTTGAAAACACGGATCGTTTGCACGGAAACTGTTCGTAAAGCGAAAGCGGTCGCGGCTCTAACACGGAAATGCGGTTAGTGTGCGTCGCCGTACTTCAAAGGCGGTCACCTCGCGCGCTGCTGCGTGTGCGACTCACGACGAGTAAGGTTTCACCGTCGCGGCATCGGAGGTGTCGCGAGGAGAAAGTCTCGGCCGTGGCACGCCGGCATCGGTTGGACGAAGCCGATTAGACTTTATGGAGGGGACGTGACGTAGCCCGCCAAACTAACAGATACACCTGAGCATCCACAAATCGATTCAAAGCCGCCGGACAGAGATAATCCTAAATCGGTGGACGCCACGCAAAATTTGTTTATTTACACTGTTAAATCAATAACTTATTGTTGAAACTTAAAGCTTTTATGTTATATTTTTCTCTGCTCACGTCGTTCATCGTTTTCCATGTGAACTTTATTGTTACAAAGGATTACGAATGAGAATACCGCGGTCGACAATTCATGTAATTAAACCAATTAGCTCGCACTCGCAAGTTCCCACGGAACTAAGCGTGTACATCCCTTGGGACCAAACTAGGAACATACTGAAAGAATTTTACTGGCTCCTTTGAAATCGTTCAGCTCTAATATTTCTGGTTAACAAATCATCGAAATCGTTAAAGATATTTATTGCAACAGTTAGCTTGAACTAACAGATACAAAGCACGGGGGCGCAAGCCGCGTTTTACATTCTCGATGACAAGTATGCCGTTCGCCACTCCAGCGATGAACTAAGGAAAAATTAGGCACTAATATTTCGAAATGTTTGACTTAAAAAAAAAAAATGAACGTAATTTTAATTTTATTTTAGTGTACAAAACTATATTATGTTTGATATTAAATGTGTTTATTTATATTTTGATACATAATGTTTGACTATTCTTAAGAGCTTTTGTTTTTAAAATTCCTATTATGACTATTGAGTCACAATATCGGACAAGGATTATTAAGATACGTGTTCGTTTAAGTGATTAAAGTATATTCGGATTACTACTACCTAACGTGCTATCGACAGCCCGACCGACAATCCCGAGCTGCAAATATAATTATCGCTAACACATACACATTAATAGATGATATGCGAACATATTATGTTGTCCCTACATGACTATGGTACTTTTTGGAAAAAAATATTTGACAAAATAATGGTTTTGAAATTAAAATTTTTGAAACGGCTGCTTCTATTAATGCGTGCACGTTTCGAAGTTGAATTTTGAAGTCTGATTTAAGATACATCCCTGTGACATTCGGAGCCATCTGTTTATACAATTATCGGCTAAGAACCGAGTCTGTAGCGCGGGCTGTTCATCCTAAATGACTCTTTCATGAACGATAGCCCTCGGGGTACTTATTAGTGAGTCGCCATTCCCCGAGTTTAGTAGACAGCACGCATTCGACCTAGTCATATATGTACGTGTCGTTCAAATTAAATGTAATGGATAGTTTCATGAATTACCAGTGCACAGATGAGGCATGGGATCAAAGGAATCTGTTCGCGAAGCCTTTTCAGAACGGCGTGGATGCGGTGCCGGCGGTTAAGCAAAGATGCCAAGCAAATGCTCGCGAGAGGGACAGGACACAAAAGTTAGTAATTTTTGTTATATTATGAAAAATGATGTGTGGTGGCGTGGGACACCGGATAGGAACGAAGTTCCTTATTATAAAAAAAAAACTTTTTAGTTTTATTTGAGGTATAAAGAAAATCATTATTCGGGTACATTTTTCATGTTTTTTTTATTGATAAAAATAAAATAAAAACTACTTTACAAAGTTGCAAACTGCGTAGTGCCTCAATCGATAAATAAAAGACCTAAACTTTTGTATAAAATAAACTTTAAAAAACAAAAGGAATTCGTCCGACGGGGGACACATCAAAGGAAAAACAAAATTGTTTGTTTTTATATAATTCCGATCATTTTCATATTTTTTCACCTTTTAAACCTTTTCTGGACTTCCACGAATAATGCAAGACCAAAATTAGCCAAATCGGTCCAGCCGTTCTCGAGTTTTAGCGAGACTAACGAACAGCAATTCATTTTTATATTATATATAGATGATATATAAAAATATATTTAATAAAAAATATGTTATTTTTTGTACGTTATTACAAAGAGTCGTACACTGTGTGCATACTAATAAAAAATCTTACGTTACGGACATTTTTTTTCCGGTTGGCGTACTCCGCATCGATCCATAAGGAACTTCGATCCAAAAAAAAATTGAAACATATCAGATGTTAAAAAAATACTGATTTGATTGAACAAACTCGTATTGTACGAGGAAAAATATACTTAGGTTTTTATTCGATTTCGGTCCTATTTGGTTTGGGATTTGTTTTTAAACTAGATATCTACTTTCGCTGACGAGAGCCTACGGCTAATATGATGATAAAAATGTATGTAGTTTATACACATGAACCACAGAAGCGTTTGGTGGTAGGGCGCCTTGTGAGCCTGCACGGGTAGCTACCACTGACCATCTATTTCTGCTGTGAAGTAGTAATGCGATTCTGATTGAAGGTTGGGACAGCCGTTATACTGTAAAGACCGAGACTTAGAACTCCTGTCCGAAGGCGGCTCTGGCGAAGGATCCGGTAACTATATAGCATTAGGTGGGCCTTGAGCTAGCCAATCAGATGGAAGCAAAAAAATAAAAAAAAACATCAAAAGTTTCAGAGCATCCACTACTAAGTACTCTTTCAAAATCTCTTCAAAGAATGCCCTTGTGACGAGTCACTTATTTTACAAAGCTTAAAGTCTAAAGCTGTGACTTCTATGCAGGTGTTGTAATTTGATAATTATACAAAATATATCGATATGTGATTCCAGCCTTCTCGAGATGCTGAAACTACATTCCCATCAGATCTTTATATCCTATACATCTCCTAACTCCTTCTTCTTCCTAGGCTACGTTAGATACTGATGTATGCTACATTGCAAACCTACACGGGAGAACGCCATCATCTAGTTTACTTATAGAAACTGAAAGAGAAGCTGTACATCCCATACTTTTGTACCTGACCCTTGCCTACCTCAAAACGATTAAAAGCGGTTTTTGGGTATGAAAACTAGATATCGAAGAGACGGGCATTTATTTACCCCGTCCCTTACTTGTTGGACTTAAGATCGAGTAAAAATACAATCATATTTTTATCAATATTTTTACCGTGAATCTGCGTTCGTTCAATGATGCAATCAGACGAAAGTGCGGGCTAGTCAATATTCCACAGATATTTCTGGATCTGGTGCATCATGTTGGGTTGTGAGTTTCCTAACTATTTATTTCGTTAACAAACTTTACAATACTTTTTAACTGTTTACCTTTTAGCAATTTATCATTTAAAATTAAATAGATGTGAGTTGACGCTGGGTTACTGTATCGTGGTTCAAAAAATCATTTCCATTACTCTTCCTTAAATCCTAAATTATGTACTTATATACATATAAATATAGATATTAAGTAACTAGGTAAAAACCAAACAAAACTGTTCATTACACAAATATTGGCCGATGTGTGAATCGAACCTACGACTCTTGACTCTTGACTTGACTTGATTCAGTCAATCGAGTATTTTATTTCTGTCAAATCAGATATGATTTTAATGTGTTTTATTTCAAATATTAATTATATATGGCTAAATATGAATATTATCAGTTAACTATTGCGTTCAACATATCTTTTGTATCTCCAAGCAGTGTCAACATGGCGTTTAATACGCTTCGTCTGCTGATACCGACGGAGCCTCCTGACAGGAAACTCAGCAAGATCGAAATCCTCAGACTAGCAGGAAGTTATATAACACACCTTGACAATCAGCTTTATACCGGTAAGATTAGAGCTTTTTTTATCTAAGCACACGATAGCTCATGGAACCTACGCCAGTTTCTAGAAGTTTTCCAGAAGCCAGTTTTCCAGTGAAGTCGTCGTGGCCTAAAGGATAAGACGTCCGGTGCATTCCTATATAGCGATGCAACGATGTTCGAATCCCGCAGGCGGGTACCAATTTTTCTAATGAAATACCCTACTTAACATATGTTCACGATTGACTTCCACGGTGAAGGAATAACATGTGTAACAAAAATCAAACCCGCAAAATTATAATTTGCGTAATTACTGGTGGTAGGACCAGTAATTAGTCCGCACGGATAGGTACCACCACCCCGCCTATTTCTGCCGTGAAGCAGTTATACGTTTCGGTTTGAAGAGTGGGGTAGCCGTTGTAACTATAATGGGTCCTTAGAACTTATATCTCAAGGCGGGTGGCACATTTACGTTGTAGATGTCTGTAAGCTTCAGTAACCACTTAACACCAAGTGGGCTGTGGTGAGCTCGTCCACACATATAAGCAATAAAAAAAAAAACATATCCACTGCGCGGAGGACAAGAATGAATGGAGGAACATAGTCCTAACAAAAGTGCTCCGTAAAGGTCACGACCCTCTGCACTGAGGAATACGACGCTCGGAGGAGGTATCGATAATATATATAAATATAATATAAAACACCTAAATGAAAAAAAGCCTCTCAACGCAAATTAGAGAGAGAGGATCATTTATTAGTTTTTATTTTTTTCATTATAGGAAATATGGAACGGCCATGCTTACAGAAAACCGATGCGGATGATAAAAACACAACAATGTGCACTTTTTGTTGGACTTCAGTTAAAAAAGAGGTAAGATAAATTGTAGAAAGAAGAATATTCATATTTATTGATCTCAGCTTTTGAACCCGAGTCCATTTTTATCGCCCTTTACGTACTGTAAGATGGATTTTATGGAGGATCATCGATGTCGTTGATTTATGAATGATTTGTTGCTGTATTTCAATTTTGCTTTAGGCACTATTTTTAAATTACGTAACTTAATTGTTTAATAACAGCTTATAATAAAGAACTACTGATTTTACCTAAATTATCCAAACAGCTTCACGGTAATAATAGTTAATAATGACATTTAAATATTCGGGTAGTAAAATGAGATAAATGAAGTAAGGATTGCTTCTGGCAACAAAGTGAATTGTGAACGAGAATGATAAATAAACGGGAAAAATGTACATTAAATTGCAAGAAGAATGTCATAGTATTACTACTGCGGAGACAAGGTGAAATCTTCTAGATCTTGCTACAGCTCTTTAAAGCAGTGACACTTTAACCCCTCCTGGCTGAGCCCGTACTAGCCCACCTGTCCGAAAGGCCTCAGTAATACTTCAATCATAAAAGAAAAAAAAGTGACACTTTAAAATTTAGTCGAACTCTTTAATATCTATGCTTACATTATGATTTCTAAAGTTTATATGTTTGTTACTAAATCAAGCAAAAATGCCTAAGCAGATATGTATCTTTTTCCAAATATATTATGTATACATGGGATACTTTTTATTATGGGAACTGTCATGTCACTTGCCACGCGGAGTATGTTTGCTATGAGTACAATGTGTTCACTGGTTCGTGCGTTTAAAGTTTACTTTGCTTGCTGATACCTTTTAGTGTTAGCCTCCTATTATATTATAATAATATATATAAGTAGAGCTATTATGTGCGCAGACTTTATCAAAACATCAATAATATTGTTTTCTTTTCAGAAAATCAGTGCATCGAAATTGGATACCTTTTATAAGAGTTCATATTAAAATGTACAGTATAAACATTTTTGAATCATAATTACGGTTGCTTAAAGAAATAATAAACGTTGTTGAAAAAAATTGGTGACGTTTGATACATATGCTACGGTTTCTAGATGTAAGAAAAGTAAAAGACACATTTAGTTTGAAATTTATGGTTTTCAAAAAATAAATATATTTAATTGATTTATGTGAGTAAATATTAGCAAAAATTAGGACTAGACTTTGTAAATAATTCAGTAAGGTAACCCACTTATAATTGTAACATTAACCTGCAATTTCTCTTATACTTTGCGATACCTAATCAATATTATTACTTTATAAATAATAACTTCATTAATCCGATAATTTAAATGAATTAAATTTATTGATTATTTTTTACGTTAAGTTGATTAAAAAATTAAGTAATGCTTGCTTTTATGTTGAATGTTATAATTTAATGCTTACATACTATTGTAATCTGCAGTAATTTGGTTTGGATATAAGTTTAGTATTTGACAAAATTTGTAATATTTTTACAATAAGAAATCGGGAAAACAGTTCGTGAACTTCATGGTTTTCATATAAATTTCGATACATTTCATAATTTTTACTTTTGTTATAAATTTCGTAGTGTTAATATTCAACAAAGAAAGGTCTATCTGAAGCACTATCTGAGTGTTCTAATGCGATTCCCAACCCGAACCCGTGCGTGTAGGTACTATGGTAAGCACTACTGTTCTATCAATTTCAGAACAAAAGATAGGACAGCTGGCAAACGACACAATTCCAATTGCGGTTCGAAATTAATGACTGAAGTTAGCCATTGTTTTTTTTTTACTTATTATGATAGCCTTAGAGGCTGTTTCAGCTTCCCCTAGGGTCTTACCGTGTAGCTGAGCTTTCGAGGCTCTATCTAACCCGTAGTGTTGCAGAATCTACCACCGGATCGGAAACGCGACCCACTGAGACGATCCGGCGAGAAACTCAGTGGGCTGTGTCTATGGGTTAATTTACTCGTCAAGCCCTTCGTCGCAAGCAACGGGTTCGGCAAGGACGGTGACCCGTGCTTGAGGTGCCTAAAAGCACCGTTAATGGATCGGGAGGATCCGTATTGAAGTATTTAGGGCGACGTCGACTGTTTGCCATTTGGTCCACAGGATCGGAGATGTAATTTCCGGCGTCACGTCAAGAGGGTTTTCGTGTCGTGCCGCCTTGGAATTCACTACTGCCACTACTTAATATCAGACCGATTGTGATTTAACTTAGTTTAACCATCTTATATAGAATAAAATGAGGTATATATGGAAAATATTTCGAATTGTTTAAGAATTCGTGGCTAACTGCATTAAAAACTAACCAGCCATCATCAAGACATTTATAAGAACGCTGAAATATTGAAAACTCATTGTAACTAAAAAACGTGGGAAGAACCTAACAACAAATGTTTATAAGGTAAACATTTCGCATTGTTGGGGAAAGCTTAAATATATTTTTCACTATAACCTACAAGTTTTCTTTCGTCATTCCAATTTGAAATTCAAATGATGTCCTCTATAAACTGGTTTTTCAAATAAAACAAATTTTATCAAAATGGCACAATTTATTCAAATTCTACTGAACTATTTAAGTAGACATTAAACTGTTGAAAATTGTAAAGTAATCACAACCAGTGTTTTAATTTAAATACGTGATCATTTTTATTATTATTATTATCATGTACAAATATGTAGTAAGTCTTCTTGGCAGTGCGCTTAGTATAAATTTTGAATACCTCAAACGAAAGATAATTTATTCTTAAGTACATGTATATTTACAATAATTTACATTTAAATAATAGTAGGCACCTACGAAGTTAACAAGCAAAGTCGTGTATAAAATTATACTACTTATAACATAGTTTGGTAATGTCAATATAGTGCTTCAATTCTTTAAGTACTTACGTAAATAGAAAAACAAATGTGAAATCAACAATTTACGAGTCTCCGCTACGTACAGCCGGACGTCGGTAAATATTATTAAGGTTCTTGACTAGCAAAATAATCTAGTCATAATAATACGCTTAAACTATTCATAAATAATATGGCAATAATTATTTACCTTGAACTAAGAAACCACGGGACTGGACACGTTTTTACGTAAGACGTAATAGTATTCCTAAAATATTGATTTTAATCAGCTATATTTTGATTATTTGATTGAGTTCAGAAAGAAATGTAACATTTGCATGCAAAGCAAGAAAACTGATCTTCGCATGTATAATAAAATTGGCACTTTAGATATTGTTGAATTTTTCAATGTCTCTAATATATTTTAGATTCGGTTCATTACAGAAAAATATAGATTTAAAGAACCAACACTACTCAGTCTGTTACTCTCACATGAAGTAATTAAATACATATTTCTTTACATCGGTTGTGGGGCATTTCGTGTCTATTTCGGCTGCGACACACCCAGTTTTCTGGCTTGAAGACAGTTGTATAATAATTGTAACTTCGACCTCATATCTCAAAATCGGTTTCGTTCAAGTTGTGAAGGGGGCCGGTAATCACTTTACACATCGACCGTGAAATCCTTCATGACACTAAGCAATAAATAAACTAACCTTTATTTAAATGACATTCACAACTGAGAAAAGTCGAAATGGGTAATCGTTCAAAAAACAATTCACTAAGAAATATATTTCGTTCTAAATTTGTTTATAGATATGACCAAAAGACACAATACATTAGAAATTAGTCATTGACAATAATTTTATTGATCTGAAACGCGTCAATTTCTTTCATAGAACGGTAAATTGGCCCGGTTGTAAATCCAGAAATATTAACTGCCCCGTGGCTTGTTAGTTCTACCAAATTTATATATACATACATAAATTGCAAATATATATAATAATATATAATTATAAACATAAAAATGCGTAAAACTAAAAATGCATTTAAAAATAAAACATGTACTTTTGTCAACATACGTAAAATAATTTTAGAACAATCACATTCACACAATTCTCCTCAAAGAAGATATAACATAGTCGCAGAGATAACATCACAGTCGGGGATATAAATATTCCTAGTCCAAGATTTAACTATTTACACTTCTGTCACTGTCTGTCACAGAAAATTGTGTTCAACACACACGGTATTAGCTATCGAATGCTATTTCTATCTCTTCCTATGAACGGACTGGATTCGTGGTGGTTTTTCTCCAAGTTTCCTGAGAGAGTAGGGTCAGGACGACTTCTCTTGAAGAAGCCCAGTTTCCAAAGGGCTAAGATGAGGAGTATCAGAACGATTAGTCCAATAATTACTGATATAATGATGACCCAAAGAGGAACTTCTGTGGGCTCGCTGATCTTCAAATCCGGATATGCGACTGTTTCAACCTATTAAATAAATAAAACGTAATCAATTTGAACGAAATGTTTGCTTAATATACCTAATACTAATTACACGTATTATTAACACTAATAAAAGATAGAAAATTAAAATGATTTTTATTTTAATTCTTTTTGTATTGTGATTTAAAAATATACTTCCAAAAGCCCGAAAAGGCGACCTTTTCCTATGATCAAAACTTGTAAATGAATTTTATTGTAGGTACTTTATCTTGATACGCAATTCACCAGTCATATAGTAAATTAGAACGTATTTCATTCTAAGAGCCATTCGATGTCAAAATATTACCTACACTACAAACAGATCTTTGGCAAGCCTATCATTCAAAAAGTATTACTATACTATAATACTGTGACGGATATGAGTAAAGTAAAATATATTTTTTTATTGCCCTTGTAGTCAGACCACCTGATGGTGAGTGGTTACTGTCGCCCATGGACTTTAGCAATGCCAGGGGCAGAGCCAAGCCGCTGCCTAAAATGCCTAAGTAGCTTACCGTGGCGGTATCATCGTGTTGTTTGCTTTGATGGATGTTGTAGTGATCTGGTATATGTATGAACGCAGTAGAAGCGATGTTGACATGGCTGATTCGGGGATAATCTTCTACTAGTGTAGCGTTCCAAAGTCGAGCCTTCACAGTAATGGTTGTGGCCTGAGCCCGAGATAGTCGATAGATCACGCATTGAAATTGTATGCACTTCGCTGTCTTCTTTTGGCAGCTCTGTAAGATGTAAGAAAATTATTTTAGGTTGTTGAAAACCAAGAAACTTTATACATTCCCTTACAATTGCATATTTTGTCGAGTATTTTTTGTTTATAATTTAGTTTATAGTTCTAATCTGATTTTTAAATTCAATATTTTAATATCTTTATAATAGTTTCGAGAAGAATGAAAACTATAATATCGTCGCTGTCAAACCAAATTCTGCTAGATGCAATTATTTTGAATTAACAAGTAAAAACATTTTCGTATAAAATTTTATATGAAAGTGAATTTTTAAGAACTATATCAAATGAAAGTTAGAGATAAATATTAAAGCTATAGACAAATAACAGTTTTATTTATACGGTACATAGGGCTGTGAACTATACGAAAAAGCCAAAAAATCTCAAAAACTCTCAAAAACCAAAAAATCTCAAAAAGTGCACATAGCAGATTTTGGTTTGACAACGACGATATATAGTTTTATTTTACCCGTACTTCCCGTAACACAGGAAAAGGGTGACAATGTGAAATAAAAAGTTGTTGTTTAATTTAAGAGAAATAGTCAAATTAGTCAATGTTAGACGGTACCACACTGCTGACTCAACAGTACCACGAATGACTGTAATTTACGAAATATAATCAGGCGTTGCTGTTACTATTGACACAGGTAAAATAAAATGAATATACACGCAATTTTTTCCAACTAAATTGATTTAGATCACACGTGTTTCTAGTTTACACGTGTCTTTCCAGCACCTAACAAAACGATACTGTATAATAAAAGGAACACTGAAAGAATCTCGGGTTGTGATTGAATGACAATGTAGCTTTGCGTTGGCGTTGATGCTAGCGATTAAAATATTTCTGTTGCTTATCATTTAAAAATAAATCATCGTGTCAACTTAGAATAATGTTTGTAACTTGCACTAAATTTGTTGTGGGATCGACTGCGTTCTCTGGGCGGTCGGATAATAATTACTTAC